CCCCACCTAGTATGACAAGGTCAAAATTGAACCCACTGTGAAAATGAAACTAGCTTCCAATAGTCCATTTTACAGTTGTGTGGTTGGTTGCCAAGCCTTTGAATGGGAGTGAGGCTAAGGGTGACCTTGTTATGATACAAACCTTGCTGCCTTTCAAATTTAAATCACTTTGTTATCATGCTAACTAGATACAGGTCTCTATCACAACAAGGTCACCTTGAGCCTCACTCTGAATCAAAGGCTTGGCAACTAAGTACACAACTGTAAAATGGCCTATTGGATTTTTTTAACTTATCATTCATTTTTCTAACTTCTTCCCTTATCAACATGTTTCTAACAGTTGCTTGTTATTATAAACCTCTATTAGGCTACAGCAACACAGAAACAGTCTGCCCTGCAGTCAGCTCCAGTACAAGAATCTCTTTCCCAACAAACACCTTCTCAGACTCTACAGTCAGTTCTGCAGCCAACGACCACAATATTGCAACCTATAGAAACAACGAGTGAGCCACTACACACACTGCCTCAGTTGGCGCAGCTAGTACAGAAACTGTATCCACTACCAGAGGAGCATGAAACAGTAAAAACAATGCCACAGCTGCCAACAACTCAACCTTCACAGACATCAATGCAGCTCCAAGGAGCTGTCCCTCAGTCTCAACAAACTGTGTCTCAGTCCTCACAAATGGTGATGCAATCACAGATCACAAAATCCCAGCCCGTGAAAATTGCTATGCCGCCTCTAAACACTATACCACAGCTTTCCCACACAGTGTCGCACCCATCACAAACAGTTTTGCAGCCAACGCAAAGTTTGCTTCAACCACCGCAAAGTCTGCTACAGGCTTCACGAGCTTCGCTTCAGCCTCCACAGACACTCTTTCAGCTTCCACCAACGGTGCTCCAAGTAGCACCCCAACCACTGCAGACAGTGTTTCCTGCTCCAAATAACACTCTTCGACCTCCGCAACTGGCAGGGCAGCAACCTCCTCACTCTGGACCATTGGAGGGTTCCCCATCTTTAGCTTCCCTCGCCCAGTTCACTCTGCCTCCAAATCTGTTTCCCTCACCATTCTTAAACAGCACTATCCAAGCACCTCTCCAACCTAGTGTTCTGTCTTCTCTTACAGGCCCTCATTCATCCACCGTGAATTTGCTTAGTACTCTACAAGATGACAGGCTCGGCTTGATCCTTCCAGTGTTAGTGAGGATGGAACATAAGATAGATCAAATTATGGCGATTATTGGCGCTAAATACAGTCTTGGAATAAACGGGCTGCAACCAGAAAACAAGCTTAATCCCAACTTGATAGACAACCAGTGCAAAAGTGACATTGCGGAAAACCAATCAAATTTTGTCACGATAGGAAACGGATCGATTGAATCAAATACAGAAAGTAATTCCACTACTGCTTCAATGGCAAATCAGTTAAATACAGATAAGATGATTAACAATTCGAATATACCTTCGCTAGGTAAACAGAAAGAATGTTTTACGAAGGAAGACCCAGCGGTTAGCGTACCTATCAAATCTCAGTCAACAGAACGCCAGTCAACTGCATCAACGTTGAATTCTACGCGGCCTAATGCTAACTTCACTGAAACACACCCGGGTGACAGAGCGATGGAGATCGGTGATGCAGACATTGCTATGGAATCAATTAGCGCTGAAGCTTCCACTTTAACTTCCTCTTCTAACGTTACGAATTTGCATCCTGGTTCATCCACAGTTCAAGGCCGTCTAATTCAACGTAAAATGGCAAAAATAACTGAGCTAACGCTTCCTGAAAATTCCAACTTTCCTGTTTCACGCGACGATATTATTGCCATGCAGGCCAAGTCCACCTCCACGATGAATTTTGCCGTGCGCCTGATGCGTGAATTGTTTACCTTGGAGGAACTTGATGGGAAAAACATTTCAGGAGCCAGAGGAAAAGACAGAGTAGATCCGAACAGAGTTGAAATCATCAAAGAAATTGTCTTCCAGGTTTATCGAACGTTACCATCTGACAGAGATATGGTGTGGAGGTGCTGTCGCAAAGCGATGGACTCCTTTATGCGTCGCATGAAACGGGAGCGTGCGCTGAAAAGCAAAACCACTTCTGCCGCAACTATTTAACGTGAATTTCGAGACAGATCCAATTATCCGCTTATTTTCTAAAGTGCTGTCAGTGGGAGATCCTCTTCTTATTTTATCTGTTTTTGTACTTATTATTTTGTAATTATCTTCATTATTATCTTCTGCAGTTTCTTTCACTAGTTTGGAAAAAAGTCAAGGTGGTTGTTGCGAAAAATTAGAAATGTAAAAGGAGCGTTTGTTTTAAAGCTCATTAAGCGCACACCGTCTTAAAGTTGTTTTTGCGAGGTAGCTTTCCCGCCAATTCCTCTGCTTGTACACTGAGAACATGCAGAGGAAATAATTGGTTAAAACGCTCCATGTTTCGATTGGTTGAAGTCAGCATTTGCTATCCTAATTAGGTGTGCCGACTCTTTTACTTAGCTTGACTTGTTTAATTGACGCAGTCTCGTCCTTTAAACTATTTAACGATTATTCGATGATGTTCATTGAGCCTGAGGAAAATAGCTGTTTTACTCTAAAGGTGACCATTAAAGCAACTACATTTTCTTTCATTTCACTTGTTTCTTCTTTAAAATCATTACGAACTCTTGCCAAATCCACTTTGAACCTGAGGGATTCAAATCGCAGGGTGATTATTTGAAAGGTGAATAATGGTAAATACCCACGTCCGCTTAAATTTTGAACACTTTCAACCGATTTGCAATTCTGGCCACTAGTGCTCGTTCTAAGATTTTGGCCCCTGGTCGCCGTTTCGGGAATTTGGCCACTAGTCACCGTTAATTTTTGGGATTTGTGCCACTAGTGGCCGATTTAGAATTTTGGCCACTACTGGCCGTTTTGGCATTTTCGCCACTAGTGGCCGATTTGGGATTTTGGCCACTAGTAGCCGTTTTCGGATTTTGGCCAATAGGGGCCGTTTCGCCATTTTGGTCACTAGTGGCCGTTTTGCGAATTTGGCCACTAGTGGCCGTCTTGAAATTTTGGCCACAAGTAGCCGTTTTGGGATTTTGGCCACCGGTGGCCGATTGGGCATTTTGGCACGCAGTGGCCAATTTAGGATTTTGGCCACTAGTGGCCATATCGGAAATTTGGCCATTTTTGACCGTTCTGAATTTTCCCCACTAGTGGCCCTTTTCCGACTTTCCCCACTAGTGGCCAATTGGCATAGGTATTTTCACCAGTAATAGCCGTTTTAGAAATTTGTCTACAAGTGGTCGTTCTGACACTTCGGCCACTGGTGGCCGTTTTGGGATTTTCTCCACTAGTGGCCGTTTTAGGACTTCCTCCACTAGTGGCCGTTTTCCTATTTTGTCCACTACTGGCCGATTTGGAATTTTGGCCACTAATGGCCGTTTTGGGATTTTGTCCACTAGTGCCCGTTTTGCTATTTTGTCCACGACTTGCCGATTTAGGATTTTGTCCACTAGCGGCCGTTTTGGGATTTTATCCACAAGTGGCCGATTTGGGGTTTTGTCCACTAATGGCCGATTTGGGATTTTGTCTTCTAGTGGCCGATTTGGAATTTTGTCCACTAGTGGCCGATTTGGGATTTCGTCCACAAGAGGCCGTTTTGGAATTTTATGAACTAATGGCTGATTTGAGATTTTGTCCACTAGTGGCTGATTTGGGACTTAATCCACTAGTGGCCGATTTGGGATTCTGTCCAGTAGTGCACGATTTGGGATTTTGTCCATTAGTGGCCATTCTGGGATTTTGTCCAGTAGTGGCCGATTTGGGATTTTGTCCACTAGTGGTCGTTTTGAGATGATGTCCACTAGTGGCCAATTTGGGATTTTGTCCACTAGTGGTCGTTTTCAGATGATGTTCACTAGTGGCCGTTTTGGGATTTTGGCTAATAGTTTCTAAAGAAACTGTTTAGGGCTGCGTCGGTGGGGGTAACGAAATAATTTGGATATGTCAACAAAGTTGAAATAGTAAATTAGCCACCGTAACGACTACAAAAGCTGACGTTTCAAGCGTTAGCCCTTCGTCGGAGCGAAGCTTTCGGATCGATTTTGTCCAGTAGTTGCCGAATTGGGATTTTGTCCCCTAGTGGTCGTTTTGAGATGATGTCCACTAGTGGTCTATTTAAGATTTTGTCCAGTAGTGGCCGTTTTGAGAGGATGTCCACTAGTGGCCGATTTGGGATTTTGTCCACTAGTGGCCGTTTTGAGATGATTTCCACTTGTGGCCGATTTGGGATTTTAGCCAGTAGTGGCCGTTTTGAGTTTTAAGCCACTAGTGGCCGATTTGGGATTTTCTCCAGTAGTGGCCGATTTAGGATTTTGTCCACTGGTGGTCGTTTTGAGATGATCTCCACTAGTGGCCGATTTGGGATTTTTTCCACTTGTATTCGTTTTGAGATGATCTCCACTAGTGGCCGATTTGGGATTTTTTCCACTTGTATTCGTTTTGAGATGATGTCCACTAGTGGCCGATTTGGGATTTTGTCCACTAGTGGCCGATTTGGGATTTTGTCCACTAGTGGCCGATTTGGGATTTTGTCCACTAGTGGCCGATTTGGGATTTTGTCCACTAGTGGCCGATTTGGGATTTTGTCCACTAGTGGCCGATTTGGGATTTTGTCCACTAGTGGCCGATTTGGGATTTTGTCCANGGTCCCCTGCCTAACCAAATTATCTAATTAATAGATGCAGGAGACGGGACCTACGATTTATTCGTCCTTATCCGAGAAGACTAGAATGTCTATCCATTTGTTATTAAAGAAAGGTAGCGCATTCTCCTCAGTTATTTTAAGACCTTGAGTGTTGGTCCGGCCGGGTCTCGAACCATCGACCTCGACCTCCCGCACAACAGTCCAGCGCTCTAACCAATTGAGCTAACCGGGAGGCGGTTAAATGATGCCAACATGATGTCCACGAGTGGCCGATTTTGGATTTTGTCCACTAGTGGCCTATTTGGGATTTTGTCCACTAGTGGCCGATTTGGGATTTTGTCCACTAATGGCCGTTTTGGGATTTTGTCCAATAGTGGCCGATTTGGGATTTTGTCCACTAGTCTCCGTTTTGGGATTTTTTCCACTAGTGACGGATTTGGCATTTTGTCCACTACTTGCTAATATGGGATTTTTTCCACTAGTGGCCGTTTTGGGATTTTGTCCACTAGTCGCCGTTTTGCGATTTTCTCCACTAGTGGACGATTTGGGATTTTGCCCTCTAGTGGCCGTTTTGGGATTTTGTCCACTAGTGGCCGTTTTGGGATATTTTGTCCACTAGTGGCCGCTTTGGGATGTTGGTCACTAGTGGCCGTTTTGGCATTTCAGTTTTTAGTTGCTGATTTACGATTTTGTGTATTAATGGCCGTTTTGAGATTTAAGTTATTAGTGGCCGATTTGGCATTTTGGCCATTAGTCGTCGTTTTTGCATTTTGTCCAGTAGTGGTCGATTTGGTATTTAGTCCCCTTGTGGCCAATTTGTATTTTGTCCACTAGTGGCCGTTTTTTGCATTTTTTCCCGCATTAGTGGCCGATTTTGTGTTTTGTCCACAAGTGGCCGATTGGGCATTTTGGCCACTAGTGGCCGTTTTGGGATTTTGGCCACTAGTGGCAGATTTGGAATTTCGTCTACTAGTTGCTGTTCTGGGATTTTGGCCACTAGTGGCCTTTTTGGGATTTTGTCCAGTAGTGGCCGTGTTGGCTTTTTTTCCACTAGTGGCCGTTTTGGGATTTTGTGGATTAGTGGCAGCTTTGGCAGTTTAGCCACAAGTGGCCGATTTGGTATTTTGGCCAATGGTGGCTGTTCTGGGAATTTGTCTACTAGTGGCGGTTTTTAGGATTTTGGCTACTTGTGACCGTTTTGGAATTTTGGACACTAGCGGCTGATTTGGGATGTTTGGCACTCGTGGCCATTTTGGCATTTTTGCCACTAGCGGTCGTCTCGGGATTTTGGTCACTATTGGTTGTTTTGGGTTTTGTCCATTAGCGGCTGTTTCGGGAAGTTGGCCACTAGTGGCCGTTTTGGGATATTCGCCACTAGTGGCCGTTTTCGGATTTTTGCCACTAGCGGCCGATATGGCATTTTGGCCACTAGTGGCCGTTTCGGCATTTTGGCCACTAGTGGCCGATTTGGGATTTTAGCCATTAGTGGTTGTTTCGGGATTTTGCCACTATTGGCCGATTTGGGATTGTGGCCACTTAAGTTTCGAACCCGGCAAGGTTTGAAATACAATACCTTGAGTTTAATAAGGTGATTCCATTCGATGGCATGACGTAACGGTAGAATGGCGAGATATCCTACAACGTAGAAGGCTTTGTTGTGTGAACCAAATGTCTCAAAAAAGGGAATAGGAATTAAACAAATAATTATTGACAATAAACAGGCGCCTCTATAAGTTATCATTACTATTAATGTTGTTATCATCTTTAATCTTACTATTACTATCATTATTACCATTTGTTATAATCTAATCATTGGTTGAGTGTAAATTAGTCGCTATATTCTTTAGCAATTTTTCTCTTGTTGAGCGAGGTACTCAAAAATATGTGTGATGCGGCAGCTGTAACTATGTGCAGTGAGTCTGAGCTGCCTATTTTTAAAATCGAGAGATTTTACTGATGTAATATTTCAGTTTGTGGTGCGCCACAAGTTTTAGGACAAAAAGCCTCAAAATATAATATAAACATATGATTTAGGCGAGTCAGCAAACTCTAAATCGCTAATTTCCACACTATCTTCTGTGACGTCACTATCTCCGTATATCCGGGTATTTTTCTGATGAAATACCGCAGGCAGGTGGCGTGATGTGCGGAGCCGGCCCAAACATCAACAAAGAGATCGGCTACAAAAAAGTTTTGTCCTGGCAAGATCTTTAGACAGTTCCTGATGGTATCGATCTGGAAATTATCTCAGATAACAATAGAGTTGCATCAAGAATGGAATCCTTCATTCATATGTTCGAAACACCATCAGGGAGCGGGAAGCAGAGAGCCTTGGCGTCAATGCCGGAGTGCCTGCCCCCTGAGGTAAATAGATCTTTCTGCCAAAGTACAAGCTTGATTTCCTCTCAGTTTAATGTGATTGTGCGCTTGGTGCTTTGCAGGTTGAAGAAGGAAACGTAGAGTATAAGGTGAGTTCTTTAGCATGGCTCTGACGTTGGGAGTAAATTTAAATTTTTGTACTGAGTTGTAACCTGGATGAGGATTCCTTGTCAGGCGGGAAAAAATCTTAAGCTTGGAAACGGCTAACGGTCTTTCTTTACTCTCGATGTTATTCTTGTTGAATACTGTAGGAATCAATCTTACACGGCTTCAGTTGTTATTAAGAAAATTCGTCTTTGGAAACTATCGATGGTACATTTTGTTTTCAGTTTAAGAGAAACATTATGCGATATTTACCTCAGTATGTAGGCTCTGAAAACAGTGCTTCGTGGCAAAATATTGTTGCTGGGGACTTCGAATGGTCTGAATATATTATTTCTAAGCCCGCTCGTGCCAGTAGTGAACGTTTCCGTGAAGACGATGGATTTATTGAGAAAGTGAAATCGAAATCGAGAAACACTTAGACCCTGGTGTTGATTTATTTGGCTGAAATATATAAGTCTTGTTCTGAGTTTCCTTGAGCAAGGAAAAAAATTTCAAGTATTCAACTGAGTTTGCATTACCGTCTGGAAAAAAAGTTGTTACTCCTTATCTCCCAGGATCTGAATCCTAATTCTCCCTTCTGGCTACTGTAAATTTCCCGGTAACATAGTTTAGAGAATTTGGGTTAGGTGAGATTGGACTGAATTGATCGTCCGAGTGAGATAGAATAATCCTGAGAAGGACTTGTCGCTAATAGTGGTTGATTATTTCATCAGCCTTAGTTCGTCATCTGAGTAAAGAATTTTAAAACATCACTGGAGTCACTCGACTCTCGTTATCACTTATGACCTCCCTTTAGGTTGTTAAAAAATTATGTTGGTAACTACTACTGACAACAGTTCTTCTTAGGACTGCTCTAACCCGAACAAACAAACTACACAATCAAATATTACTCTTAGCTTATAATCACTTTGGACTTAAAACAGCCAAGGGGATGATGACAGGTAAGGGATACCATGACTTGGTTAAGGCAGCTATGTCCCCTGTAACTTTATCAAACTAGAACCATATTTTAAGATTTAAATCTTAGGACTGTTGTGACAGGTTTTAGCTTTCAATACTAGTCCCTTCTGTATTGTTTCCTGATAATTTCATTTTTGAATTTCATAACCATTGATGCCTGTATCTTAACTGTTTATTTGGCAAACATAAAACAGCTTTTCAGAGCATTTAACACTGTAGAGTTTTTAGAAACAGGCTCTCTAGTGTAACATGTGAATAATGATAATAATAATGATGATGATGATAATAATAATAATAATAATAACAATGATAATATTGATAATAATAATAAAGCTTTTTTTGCCAAAAGATAAAATACATATTTTTTGTTACAAGTTAGTGCAAACAATTTTAAAAAGGTAAAAAGTAAGAATTAAAAATCTAGTAAATTATATAGCTTATTCATATTAAACAGTGTTAATCTTAGGCTTAAAGCAATTTCCTTTCCTGAGATTGTAACTGGACAGTTTAACATGAGGCATAATGGATAAAATTGGATGTCCTTTAACATTATAAACTTTTTTGAAAATTTTATGGCCTTGCCTCTCTAAGAGGTCGACTTTTGGGTCCTTGGAGGCTTTTTCCTTTAAAACTCCAAATTCCTGCTGTAACCTAGGAAACACACACAGAATTCTGATTTGACCTGGAAACATTTGGTAGATGGCCACCTTGTGAATATCTCACCATTAGAATCAATTATTATTGATTAAATTACTGTCATTATTATAACAGCTGAAGCTTGTAAATCCGTCTCCTTCTCGTCTCGAGCACCTTGTCACTCAGATGAAGTGGCGATTACAGGAGGGTGAAGGTGAAGCAATCTATGAGATAGGTGTTGAAGACAATGGTATGTTTGTGGGTTTGACTAAAGAAGAGCTGGATTCTTCCCTGAACACACTTAATGTCATGGCATCAAAGCTTGGAGCCCATACCACCTTGTTACGGCGACCTTTTGTGGAAGATAATGGTAAAGTTCCTCGAAGACAGGGGGCAGAAGTTCTCGTAAGACGAGTGCCAGATGATCAGCAAGTATGTAATGATTTGTGACATGCTGATTGATTTGTTTTAACAGAGAATGGTATGCAGTAGAAATATTTCTGAAATTTTATCGCAGGGAGAAGAACAATTCAGTCAGACTACTGGCTGTTATTACAGTACCAGTAATGTTTAATTACACTGTCGCTTGCATTTTGTAATGTCTACTGTCAATGGTTCTGACACAGTAAAAATTCCCCCACAATACTTCAAATGTTCATGGTTTTCTATGATTGATGAAAATGGAATGCCATGTTTGGAATATATATACCTCTTTCTCATTTACACATAGATCTACTGTCATACTCTCAGGCCTGGATCTCTTTATCGTTCTCGAAACCTTGTATACTTAAACTGGATCAAAAATAGGCATTATGAATATGAAAAGAAAGCTTGCATTTCTAAATTCAGGCCTTTCTTTCCGAATGGATTATTTATCCTTTGAAAATGGATATTTTCCCAAATCAAAACTGATAAAATTGAGAACCTTTACCTCAAATTTTGAAGGGGATAGAGAGCATTTTGAAATCAGAGCTTTTCCATTATGCTGATGTCCCTGTTCTTTGTATGTTGTTGTGGGATGATCAGACTATTTCTTCAGCTTTAGAAACAACATTTGATGCTATCATAGCTGACTATCAGTCACTCAAAAATGATATTTAAACAATAGAGTGTTTCTGTTGAATGGCATTCATTAAATCAAATTTTTGAATTTTTTTTGTTAAATTTCAGTTTATTGACATAAGACTTGCAGTGTTGGGGAATGTTGATGCTGGAAAGAGCACATTACTTGGAGTCTTGACACATGATGAGCTAGACAATGGCCGTGGACGAGCAAGGTTGAACCTTTTCAGACATCTTCATGAGATACAAACAGGAAGAACATCAAGTATAAGCCATGAAATACTTGGATTTAGCAATAATGGAGAGGTAGGCAAAGATGGAAAGGTAGTCACAACATTTGCTCTACGTGCATTTTCTAAGAAAATTGGAAGTTTTGAATGCAGTATTTCCTTGATTAAGTACCCATGCTCTGAATAAGTGCTCCCCATCCTCTTCCTCACTTTCTTGAAAAGCAGGGATACAGGAAACTATGTGTTCATTGCCACTCTATTTCTAGATTTTTAAGGCTTTAACTACAAGGGAATTAGTACAGATTAAAAGTTTCTTGATAGGTGCTGTCCTTCCAAGAAGCATCACTCTTCTTTGCTGAAATTTCAAACATGGCACTTCAGCAAAGAGAAGTTTCTGAAACTTCAAACTTTTTCAGGAAAGCTTCTTGGTGTAAAACCACATTGAATTGACAGTTTATTGATGAGTGTTGTTTTCAAGTGAATTTTGCATCTATCACTTTTTTAACAAGCCACTTAATTCAAAAACTGACAAAGGAAAAGTGTGGTAATATAATTGAGTAAATAGAGAAAAAAAGGAACCTGCGTTTTACATACATTTTTGTAATCATATTTTAGAAGGTTAAGAAATGTGGCTGTAATTTTCAATTTCTTGCTGGCTTTGGCCTAAGTGGTGGTTACGTGATATTTCTATTGCGTCACAGCATTTCTGGTGATTTGCATATATTAACAAACTTTTCTTTTGGACATGGAAACACAGAGCTAAGTCTCCAGGAATTAGTATTAAAAGGAATAGAAATTAGTAATGAATTTGATTTTTATGCAAGATATGTTTGCCAGGTTGTAAACTACAGTGAATCTCGAACAGCAGAAGACATCTGTGAGCAGTCAACCAAGTTGATCACATTCATTGATTTAGCTGGGCACCACAAGTATTTACGGACAACAATATTTGGTTTAACTGGTCATTCTCCCGATTTTGCTATGCTTGTCATTGCTGGAAATGCTGGAATAGGTAAGGGACTCAAGTCTCAGCGGGGCTTTGAACCCAACTTTTTTTTTTTCACTTGATTGCAAGAAATATAAGTTTAATTGGGAAAAGGTAAAGGACATCTTGTTTAATACGTTTTATTCAAATGTTTACTCTAGGTAAATCTCAGACCATAAACAGTGTGTATGCGTGATGTTTACGGAAACAATTATGTGTAAAAATGAGGAAATAAGAGACAGATAATACACTAAAGGGAACAATTGAGGGAACTTGTTTGAACTTCCTAATAAATGATTTTTATTTAATCTAGTGAGCGAAACAATTGTAGCAAAATAAATGTTGAACCAAATTTATATCAATATGTAGTGGACTCTTTTACTGACTTCTTCCTGGAGGCAAGCAAATTCTGTCTTTGGTGTTGCCCTTACTTGCACTGATATCAAATGGTTGGGCAAGTTGTCTGTCAGTTGTCAAGTTTTGTGGAGAGAACGGAAGGGACGATGGATGTCTAAGGAAGTAAAACTTGATTAGTGCTTCCACTGCCAACTTGGAAAAGATTTCACAGGAAAGGAGAAAAAAAAATTGCACCTGTCTTATTGTGTACTTACTTAATTTTTGTGCTTGGTGTATTTAGTTGGGACTACAAAAGAGCACTTAGGCTTGGCTATGGCACTGAAAGTCCCAACCTTCGTAATAGTAAACAAGACTGATGTTTGTTCACCAACAATGATGGAACGGACGCTCAAAGTACTTGATCGACTTTTAAAATCTCCTGGTTGTAACAAGGTACCAGTGGTTGTCAAAACTGAAGACGACGTTTTTATTGCTTCAACTAACTTCAACTCCAATCAGTAAGATTACACCTTTCTTTATTTCTTATCATTATCGACTGATTGTCACAAAATAGAAATCTTGGGACTCATTACATGGACAACCATTTTAAATGTTTTCTGTAAAGTGAACAAGGAAGTGCGAAGTGTGGGCGCAAAAACACATTTTTCTTCCTTACCCTTACCTCCTTGCTTTAGTGTTTTTTTTTTTTTTTCCAAATTCCCTGACGCTCTTATTTTGTTCGCGCTCTGGAGAATGAAGCAAATAAAGATTTAGAGCTCAGAGGGAAACGAGCGAACTCCCTGAGGCTTGAAAAATTGCTAGTTATAGTTGGTGCGTGGTTCGAGTTATCGGGAGTCTGCTGTGGTTTTGCATTTGAGAGGGTGGAGCGTGTTGAAATACTGATCTTATATTGAAGAAACCCGAGCTAATGCAAACCCAAGTAATTCCAACAATCAACTGAAAACTGCTGTAATATCAAGATCTTTCTTCCCCAGGGTGACTCCCATCTTTACTGTGTCTTGTGTGACTGGAGAAAATCTAAATCTTGTCAAGAAATTTCTTAATCTTGTACCTCCATCACGTTCACCCATGGACCAGGAGAAACTAGCCCAAGATCCAACAGAATACCAGGTTTGAGGAAGTTTCTTTTTACCTGTAGTTAGTGGAAACGGGCTAAAGAGCAGACAGGCTGCAAATGGCGATTGCGGTTGTCAGAGAAACGGCTCATGTTCTCCCCCCCCCTCCGTTTTTTGCGCGCTCGCTTTTTCGTTCGTTCGTCCGTTTCAATCCTAGGACAGAATATTTTGACCATCGGTATCAGGTTATGGTTTTGGCAACCGAGATTTCATGTCGGGATTCATGCATCACCTCTTCAAAGGGAGATGGAATTTGTTACAATTCATAAACTTCTACTTCAGTAACTTTGTTGGTCAGAATTCTTGTTTGATTAAAAAAAAAATTCTTTGGTTTGCCGAAATACAGCGTACCTTGACTGCTAATTCCTTTTACAGATAGTACCCACTAACTATTCCATCCCCATTTTTAGTGTTCTAGGAATTCACAATTTTTCTTGGTACAGTACTTGTACTTGTTCAAAAATCAGAGAATAACATTTTATTTTTGCGTTCAGTTATTATTTTACATGGCACACAGTGATCACTTGATTTTTTTTTTCCTGCTCGTTGGTTTTTCAACTGCTTGCAGGTGGATGAAATATTCAATGTTCCAGGAACTGCACCTGTTGTTGGTGGCACTTTAGAGAGGTAAACAGTAATACGCGACTTAAGTAACACTGGCGTTCAAATGAACGCTGAGATTGGTCAACCTAGTATCAGGTCCATCACAGGTCAAGTTGTTCTCTTCGTCTTGCGTAGCACTGGTGGGTGTAGTTTAATCAACGTTTCAGGCCCCGGTTAAAGTTTCACAGCTAACGGTTTCCACCATCTGTAATGTCACATCACAACTAACCATCGGGAAATTAAAGCAGTTGTCTCAGTAGTCTTACGAATGCTTGTCGGTTCTTAATAACGTTTTTCATCGATTCAACATCGCGATGGGAGTTTAGTTTTTTGAGCGCAAAACCAGATTAATTCAGGGCTCGACACTAACGGTATCTCACTAGCCACAGACTAGTAGAAATTCAGTTTTGGCTAGTGGTTTTCGATTTCCACTTGCCAGTTTGGCTAGTAAATAAATTGAAATTGTCGTAAAATCTAAGATGTCACAAGCCACTTGGCTTGTGAGTTGAAAAGTTAGTGTTGAGCCATGTTGATACCTATAACCATTTAGTCCATGGGGGATAAGAGTGAGGGATTCGTTAACAAAATTAATGGTAAACACCACAGCGTACACTATTGAGTTATGGATGCACGCGGGAGGTTGCTAAGCACGAAAGAAGCGTATAAGAGTCGCTCGAGACGATAGCCGCCGGAGAGCGACTCTAGCTTTTTGAGTGCTTAGCAAACTTCCCAAGTGCATCCATAACTCAATAGTGTACGCCGTGGTGTTTACCATTTGTTTTATAACATAACATTGATACATTGTAGCTAAAGAGTTGCCTTTTATTTAACAAATCTTACGTGACCAGAAAAAAACAAGCGCGCGCGGAAAAATAGTCTTTGCATTTGCTCACGTCAGCAGCGTACACCCATGGGCAAATGGGGGACGCTAAATTGACCAATCAGAGCGCGCGCTTTACTTTGGTTATGTTATGACTTAAACTAGTGGTTACAGTTATTGGCCGAGTTCACTAATTGTTATGTAGTTTAATCTTGGATTTAATTCGATCCTGTAGAGGAATTCTTCGCGAAGGAGATGAACTTCTCCTCGGTCCTTGCAAGAATGGAAACTTCCAGCTGGTGACTGTGTTATCATTGAAGAGGAACCGCGCCTCCTGTAGGGTGATACGAGCAGGCCAGGCTGCTTCGGTAGCGATCAGTGGAATCGACAGGAACTTATTAAGACGGGTAAGTACAGTGTGTCAAATGTGCTATCTCATCACTAGCCCTACCCCAGTGTTGTCTACCTTTTTATGAATCATTCCCTAATTTCCCCAAAAGCATTGACGAGACCCGGAAAATAAGTGCCACATAATGTACACTTGAGTTATATTCCTGAGGGAAATGCCAGTCTTTTAGAGTCATCCAGCTGAATATGGAGAGAATTCAGTTTTGTTTTGGTTTTGCCTTCTGCTTCTTGTGCCGGGGGTGAAAATCATGCACCAGGTTCTGTGCCAAATTGAATTCGAAACGTGCGTTTTCCGCGACAGAGGCGTTTTTTCTTTCTCGTTCTTTTGGCATCTTGGAATTCTTACCTTTTCTCCTAATTTGCTGTTGTGATTAATTTGGTTTTCGTTTTATGGTGCTGTAGTGAAAAGCGCCTTCATGCGCTTTTCGAACAACTACTACTAGAGTTATCGATCAGGCTGCCGGCCAGTTGTGCATATTGACTTGATATATATCGATTTCCTTCGAGTATAATAAAGCACAGATTTCTGTTTTGATTTTGCCGTAAACATAACCGGTTCCTTCATCTCCGAGTTGCGAGAGTTCGTGTCTTGACCGACCCTCTCTGGGTAGCAAGTGACTTAAGACAAAATTTTAACTTTCCTGCCCTCCCCGGGTGTGATTTTTCACGAACGCGCTTTTGCCATAGATTCGAGTTTCGCGCTCGGGTAGTAATCGACGATTTTTTAATTTCCCTCGTGAATTTAGCCATATAAGGCAAGAATAGCGATTTTTACTTGATTTTCCTCTTGAATTAACCAGTCTTTGCTTGGCAGTGATGTTACTGTTTCACGATTTCCTTCTACGGCTGTATCTTTGACTCAAAACAATGTCCACATTAGGCACTCATGATTGTTTATGTGTTTGATAAGCCTTTTTTGACACGTATGCTTTGCTAGTGTTGCTTCAGCCTTCAACAGTCTTAAAATGTCACAGAGGCTACAGTTACTTTTACAACTGTAAGTTAACTAAATATCCTTCCTTCGCGTTCGTTAGGGCATGGTTCTAACAGATCCCAAAGAAAAGCCTCATTCCTGCACAGGATTCTGGGCTGACGTATTTCTTCTTTTTCACACCACATCCATAAGCAAACGCTTCCAAGCTACTGTCTACATTGGGAATATTATTCAAACAGCTGTTATCGAGGACATGAACAAGGTAAGAGTTGCAATGCAACGAATTTTAATGTTACATAAATTGGTCTAAACCTCTTTTGGGAGCCTCCTTTTTCCCAAAGTTTTTTTTTTGTGGCAAAAGTGGTTCCATTTGATTTCCAACAAAGGGCTCCCAGGTAACTAACGGCAACTCTAAACCAATAATAACTTTTTTTTTTTTTAATTTCTCGCGGTAGCCTTTCCAACGCAGTTTTGTGTTTTTTTTTTTACTGATGTATTAATGACTTCCAAAAGCATGACGAGGATTCCTTTTGTTGCACTTACAGGAATCCTTGAGAACCGGTCAAAAAGCAAATGTACGGTTCAGGTTCATAAAACAGCCAGAGTACGTTCGCCCAAAATCGAGGATCTTTTTCAGAGATGGACATACTAAGGGAATTGGAGAAGTTGTGGATGTTATTCCCCCTAACCCTAACACCAACAGATGACAGCAGACGATCAAACCTTGCTGGCACTTTTTCATCACATATTTAAATAGGGACTGGGACCCATGACACAGAGGGAGTGGGGAAAGTGGGTGCCAATCCTCACGCTGCTTATTTGCAGACATAGTATGAAGAGTGTCTTAACCGTGCCTTTTGGATAGACACTTCATTATTGGCAAGTGTAGTTTCCGTTTGGCTACGAGGATTTGCCTTGAAGTGGCGTTTTGTCTTTGGCTTAGGGAGTCAAGCTGGTTTTTAAAAGTAACTTTGGATGATAAAATGCTTCAGAGGCATGTTATTTTATTTTTTAATGGAAAACTCGGTTGGAAGGAGTTTCATTGTTGAGTAAAGCCTAGGAAAACACGCTACGTGGATAGGACTGTGGGTGCCATCGACGCGTTGGTGACAAAAGAGACAATAAGATTTAAAAAATGTGGCGGCTTTTCAGCTAGGGTCGACTTAAATTACACGTATGTTAGAAAAATATACGTTGTATTCAAAGAGGTCTTGCAATGGCGTGACAACTGTAATGGATTAAAAAAAAGGAAGGTTTTTAACTTGATTGCTAATTTTACTGGATGTAAATATGTAAAATGGTGTATATTTGTGATCTTTGAAAGCGTGCACTTGATTTTTAACAAACCAGTATTTACTGCAGTAAAACCTATTGGATAACAAGACACTAGCATTGGTCTTGAAATGTTGTCTTCATCTCGTATTTTCCGCATAAACCAACCAGCATCAAATTTCTCCTTACAAAATTACCCCTGAAGCAAGCAAGGACACGAGAATAACGAAGATGATCGCCAACTGAGGAAGCTTTTGATTGTTAAATTCTCGTCAACACCTCGGAATGTATGAAGACCAGTATGGAGAATATGATTACTATATTAGAATGTAAAGGGTTAATACAGAACTAATAACATTTGCCGGTGAAATTTTATATACGCTCGTACAGGGTCGTACACAGAGGGAAACCTCAAAAAGAACAACGCAAGTGAAGTATTTACTTTCTCATGGTGAGGGTTATCAGGCGATCACTATAGTAAAGAGCAAGACTAAGAACTCTTGCTGTTTGAACTGATTCAGAGGTAATTCACCGATCGATTAGATTTTCCCCAGAGCAGCCCACGGGCATTTGACCGTGGTGGGCGGGGGTTGGAAATTTGAACTTTGCCTGGCTGGGGTGGGGGGAATTTCAACCGGAAGTGTCAAGTCTTTCCAACGGAATACGTAATTAAATATGGTGTTTAAGGTAAAATATTGAACTTAAGCGAGCGAATGGCTTAGAAGAAAAGGTGTGTGTCAATGTGTAGAAAGTTTCGGTCGCTGACTTTGTACAAAAAAAATGGGTGGGGCTTCTGTACACAGATTTTCCCCCGAAGGGGTGGCAATTTGAATATACCAATCTTCAAGAGTTCAGATGCCCAGGGTATTGTGCGCGCGTGGAGGGGGGGGGGGAGGACACAATGAAAGGGGTGTTGAAGCTTCAAATTCATGACGCATAATTATCATTGCCTCCACCTTAAATCGTGTTCTCCCCGCATTCTGAGTGGTTTATTACGCCCATAAGCTGATAGAGAGTATTGTCTATCGCTCAAATTGAAAGTTTAAGATAGTGTAAATAATTTTTTTTTTTTGTTTTGTTTGTTTTTGTTTTTTATGATCCAAGATTGCCTTACATGCATGGACCGTTGGATAATTGACCCAATAAGGCCGGGAAACCATCAATCATATAATGAACAAGTTTATTTTAAACATACAATTATGCAATGTAATTATGAAACATTCGGGCATTTACAACAACGATTATAAAAGTGAACAATGAACCGACGGTACAAGGTAAACCATTAACATCATTGGTCATTCTGGTTAGCAAACATGGGTAAGAACTGAACTGAACTGAAACCTAATGAACTTAATACATGAAAGATTAAAAGTGTCAATTAAATTGCTTGTGATCATTGTCAATCATTAATATTTTGTCACAGTAACAATTGCACTACTGCACTTGATTTGCCTTTAGCAGCTTTATCAACAATATTGCTCTCACTTTGCGAAATATCCCTAAGGGTTCAACTCCACACAAGGTATGGATTTGTTTATTACGCAAGATTTATAAGCATAGATTTCAGACTTTTATGAATTTTAGACGTCGCTTGCTTTCGCGGGCTTATATCCTGCACAATATGGATTTTCCTTTATTGTTCAACAAACATTTGCATATAACTTGGATATATCAACAAAGTTGAAGTGGTAAATTGGCCACTGTAACGATTACAAGAGCTGACGTTTCGAGCGTTAGCCCTTCGTCGGAGCGAATAGAGGAATTGTGGCTTGTGTGTGCTTTTAAAGGCAGAGAATGGAGCTATGTTATTGGTGGTCTAAAATCCCACAGGGATCAACGAACGCTTTTCATTCCACTAATTTATTCTTGTTTTTCTCGTTGCCATGTTCCCACCAATAACGTAGCTCCATTCTCTGCCTTTAAAAGCACACATAATCCACAATTCCTCTATTCGCTCCGACGAGGGGCTAACGCCCGAAACGTCAGCTTTTGTAATCGTTACGGTGGCCAATTTACCACTTCAACTTTGTTGATATATCCAAGCTATTGTTAACCAACAATGTATCGTTTATGAATTTAAATGTAACCTGTGTGATGCAGGGTATGTGGGCTATACTCGTGGTCACTTACACGAGCGCGTAGAAGGGCACAAAAGGAAATCATCTTCTATCTACAAACACTACCACCTCCAGCACAATAGTGAAATGCCTGAACGCTTGATCGAGCAATTCAACGTCATCACGAAATGTAACGGCAAATTTGATTGCCTTGTTAATGAAATGTTGTATATTCGCATGCGTAAGCCAACACTGAACGTGCAAACGGATTCCATCCGCGCCAAGGTGTTTGTTTAAGCCGTTCAGTCTAATTTATGCTATTCTTGTACCTTTCCTTATTTGCATGTTTTTAAACTAGTCTCTTGATAATGGAGTCACGATGACCCCGAAACGTCGAGTAATAAATCTTTCCTGGTTTTTTCTATGAATTTGAGAAAACTGGCATAATTTCTGCCAAGTAGCAGTGCTAGCATAATAATAATAATGATAATAATTTGTATAGCGCAAATTCCATACGATGTTCAAATGCGCTTCACGATAAAATAACACAGTAATAATTAATACAACTATTAAAAAAGATAAAATAAAATAAATACCAGAAATACATACAAACACTAATGTTATACTAATACTGCTATAATATCGTATTCAGGCTAAGATAAAAATGCTAAACAAAAAAGGTGTGTTTTAAACTTTGACTTAAAAATATCCAATGACTTAGAGTTTCTAACCTCGAATGGTAATGCATTCCAGAGTTTAGGTGCTGCGCAAGTAAATGACCTGTCACAAAGTGTCACTTTAGATTTGAATCCGGGTTGCTTAAGCAAGAGGGTGCCACAAGAGCTTCTCAGGTTATAGCTGGACTGAGACTTTAGAGAAATCAATGAATCCAAGTAAGTGGGAGCTGTGCCATGCAAGATCTTGAAAGTTAACCGAAGAATCTTGAATACAATTCTAGACTGAATCGAATTCGCATATTTTGATAATTATCGGATCATTTTTGATAAGCACTTGGTGACGTTATTCGATGTTTTAAGTTTTACTTCAAGTAGCATTTGTAGTTCACTTTGAATCACTGAGCGTCGTCTGAAACGGTCTGAGCCCGGGTCTGGGGTGCACCGGAACCGGAAGTCATATTGTAGGCCATGTATAGTCTAGTACTAGTGTGCATGTTAACATGAACCACATGTTTACTTCAAGTAGCATTTGTAGTTCACTTTGAATCACTGAGCGTCGTCTGAAACGGTCTGAGCCCGGGTCTAGGGTGCACCGGAACCGGAAGTCATATTGTACGTCATGTGGGTCCCAGTACCTCTCATCAGGCAACTCGCAGATAAGCTACATGAGAGTATGGTCCAGTACTAGTCTGCATGTTAACATAAACCACATGTTTATTTGAATTTCATTGTGGATTTCTTGTGTTTCTTTCTTGTATACCAATGGTTTGTAACTAAAGGTGTATTTTTTAGACTTATTTGCATTTTTTTCAAAGAGCATAAATTAAAAAAAGGGGCATAATTTGGAAAAAAGAGCATAATTTTAGCATAATTTAGCCAAAAAAAAAGCAGCGCTACTAGCATAATATGCTACTTTTACTACTATAATCTATAAAGACCTAATTAACAGCCGTCCTTACCGAAGCATCAGTTGGAGTCTCTTATTGCTCAAATCAGCAATTCCATGAAAAAAAGACTCGTTGATTCTAGGACTTTGTCCGTCTTGACTGCTTCACTTTTGAAGACTGGCAAAGGCCGACAAAATCTAAAAGGTCAGAGAGCGTTGGGTTTCTTTAATTTTGACCGCTGACGTAAACCCCATTGCGACTTCTTACGCACCGCGTAGGTTATTACGCCAGTAAACTGATAGAAAATGTGGTCNTTTTTTTTTTAATAAATCTCAAAAGTTATGAAACTGTCTATACAATAATCTTATCAAAGAGTTTTATGTTGGCTAGTTGTATGGAGAGTCCTTCTTCATATTCATCGAAAAACCTTCCTTCAAAGCTAATCGAGCAATGTTATTTGTCTCAGATGAGAGATGAAGTAATAGTTAACTACGTACTTGAAGGCAAGAGAAATCGGTTAAAAAAAATCGAACAAACCGCCGCAACTTCAGTGTCGGTATTTTTTTTTTAATTGTGGCTAATTGACACTAGGCCTTTATAGATTATGCTAGCATAATTTTTGGCATAATTTGAGCAAACTGGCATAATTTTTGCCAAGTAGCAATGCTAGCATAATTGACATATTTTGATAATTTTCGGATCATTTTTGATGCTACAATTTGATCATTGTTCATCTCTTCTCCCAAGCACTTGGTGACCTTATTCGATGTTTCAATTTTTTAGTTCAAGTAGTAGCATTTGTAGTTCACTGTGAATCACTGAGCGGCGTCTGAAACGGTCTGAGCCCGGGTCTAGGGTGCACCGGAACCGGAAGTCACATTGTACGCCATGTTGGTCCCAGAACCTCTCATCAGGCAACTCGCAGATAAGCTACATGAGAGTATGGTCCAGTACTAGTCTGCATGTTAACATGAACCACATGTTTATTTGAATTTCATTGTGGATTTGTTGCGTTTCTTTCATGTAGACCAACGGCTTCTAATTAAAAAACGTATTTTTGGACTTATTTGCAATTTTTTCAGGGCATAATTTAAAAAAGGGGCATAATCTGGAAAAAAGAGCATAATTTTAGCATAATTTCGCCAAAAAAAGCAATGCTACTAGCATAATATGCTAATTTTACTAACATAATCTATAAAGGCCTACGCGCGGGGACTCGGGTACGCGATAAACAAACAACACTTGATTTTTGCGCTGATTTGTAACGATTAATTTTCGGTGGTCTCGAGAAAGGTATTACACTACAGAAACAGTTAGACTGTTTTTCTAGAGACGTGCGTAACAGCTGAAAGAATTGCGGATTCAGTTGAACTCCAATGTTTCTAATTTATTCCCGATGAAGAATTAATAAATTAGAGTGTTTATAATTTATTTTACTTTCTCTTCTGGAAGATTGATGCGAACTAACTACAACGGACGCAAGTTGAGATTACTTCGTAACGAAAGTGTCCTTATCGTCCTTGTACTGAATCCGCAATTCTTCCTCAGGAGTAAATTGTAAACACTCTCATTTCTTCCTTACGATTCGCACCAGATCATCGAAGGTCGGACACCTCAGTTTCGTCTGTTGTAATTAGTTCGCATTGGTTTTCCGGAAAAAAAATATTATAGAATACTTCTAGCTGGATGATGTTGTATTACTAAACGAAACTGGATAAACTACAACAGACAACAACAGCGCGGAACGATCACCTTTGTCGTTAAGATTACGCTCGCCTCCGGAGAAACAGTCTAACTGTTTCGGTAGTATAATACCTTTCTCGAGGCCATCGAAAATTATACTTTACAGATTCAGCGCAAAAGTCAGGTGTTGTTTGTTTATCACGTCCGTGAGTCGCCGCGCGTCACCGAGTCCCGACTTCCTCGCGTCCCACGTCTCCAAGTCCCACGTCCCCGAGTCCCACGTCCTACGACCATGTCCTACCTCCATGTCCTACGTCCCCGTCCCACGTCCCCGTCTCACTTTTAGTCACAGTTCATTTGCATAAATTTCAAACATACATTTCTATGCATATTGCGTTACGTATTGTGACATCATCCAACGGTCAGAGTTTTTACTATTTATTCTTATTATTTCACCAAAATTCTCCGAAATTTTGAAATCATGGCCGCCGAGTCCTATCAGCAAAGCTCAGCAACAGTACAACTCGGAGCCGGTAAAGACTTCATCCACACCGATGTAATTCCTCAACCTGGAGAAACCATCTTGGATTTAGGCTGCGGCACTGGCGAGTTGTCTGCCTACCTTGCTGAACTGGTTGGACCCAAAGGGTCTGTTATTGGCGTCGATCCTGACTTCAGCCGACTGCAACTGGCCAAGGAAACTCATCGTAATGTAGAGAACCTCTCTTTTATAGAAGGCAACTCAAATCAGTTCGAAGGCATGGGCTTCGACACTTTCGATATTATTTTCTCTAATTATGTACTTCACTGGATACCTGACAAAAGCAAGGCGTTTAGAAACATGTTGAACAGTTTGAAATCTGGTGGGAAAGTCGCCATACAGTACATAGATGCCCTACCTCCCTTGCTGGTTTCTTCGCTTGAAATTTTGAATCCGGAGACGTCTGAACAATTAAACAACAAGTTGCATCTCGTAAAGAGAGATGATGTTGATCTTATATGTGCGACGGCAGGATTTAATGTTGTGAAGAGCTATTACATCAAAGATACTACAGTTGTTTATCCCAGCGTGGAAAGCCTTCTACAGTGGTCTGTGGGCACTTCACATGGAGTTTTCGATGTAAATCTTGTAACCCAAGAAAGAATTAAGCTATTGTTGCAGAAGTTTGGAAACCCACCGTTCGATTTGACTGAAAATTCCTTCGACTGCAGACTTGTTGCCGTAAAATCAAAATCACAGACACTGTAAATGCCGGTATATTACCCTAATAGCGAAGACGTAGGTTGATGATCGCAAATACGAAAATGTTGAATGTATGAGAGTGCATGTCGATAGTGAAGCTTACTTTGCTGACGGTCGAAAACTTTGTTGTCCGTTTGTTGTTTACAGTAATTTTTCAGAGGTTGTGACATGAATGTTATTATTATTTGGCGTAAGTCTAAGGGTCAGGAAGGAATATACACAGCCAAATGTTGAATGTGTGAGTTTTTAGTTGGGCAGCTACACACGACTAAGTAAAGTATTTACGGCGCTTAAAGTGTTTGTCAACTATGAAGGTGTTGATACTGAACTGCTTACTCTCAATTCTTTGT